CTGTAAAAAAAAAAAAAAAAAAAAAATTATTGAGGACTGCAAAAAGCCTCTTTAAAATATATATATATATATAAGTTCTATCTATCAATGTTTACTAGATGTAAAAACCAAGGAAATTAGCTGGGTATGGTAGCACAGGCTTGGAGTTCCAGCTACATGGATGGCTGAGCTCAGTTTTGAGACCAGCCTGCGCAACATAACAAGACCCAGTCTCTACAGAACAGTGTGAAAATCAGCCCTGTGTGCTGGGGCAGGCCTGTAGTCCCAGCTACGCAGGAGGCTGAGGTGAAATGGTTGCCTGAGCCCAGGAGGTCAAGGCTGCAATGAGCTGTGTTCACACCACTGCACTCCAGCCTTCGTGACAGAGTGAGACGTTGTCTCAAAAAACATTTTTAAGAGTTAGAGGGGGGCCGGGCGCGGTGGCTCACGCCTGTAATCCCAGCACTTTGGGAGGCCGAGGCGGTTGGATCACGAGGTCAAGAGATCGAGACCATCCTGGTCCACATGGTGAAACCCCGTCTCTACTAAAAATACAAAAACATTAGCTGGGCATGGTGGCGCATGCCTGTAATCCCAGCTACTCAGGAGGCTGAGGCAGGAGAATTGCCTGAACCCAGGAGGTGGAGGTTGCGGTGAGCCAAGATCGCGCCATTGCACTCCAGCCTGGGTAACAAGAGCGAAACTCCGTCCCAAAAAAAAAAAAAAAAAGAGTTAGAGGGGCTGGGCACAGTGGCTCACACCTGTAATCCCAGCACTTTGGAGGCCAAGGTGGGCTTATTACGAGGTCAGGAGTTCGAGACCAGCCTGGCCAATACGATGAAACCCTGACTCTACTAAAATACACAGAAAAATTAGCCAGACTTGGTGGTGTGTGAATCTGGGAAGTGGAGGTTGCAATGAGCTGTGATTGCGCCACTGTACTCCAGCCTGGGTGACAGGGCGAGACTCCATCTTGAAAAAAAAGCAGGGGATGAGGAAAAGAAAAAAAGAAATAATATAAAAATGGAAAAAAAACCGTTTAAGAAAATGTTTTTAATTGTACGAACCTGAGGAAATTAAAAAATATTTGTTACTTCATTGAAAAAATAACATGCTACATATTACAATACGACAATATTTTTCTTTTCTTTTCTTTTTTTTTTTTGAGACGGAGTTTCGCTCTTGTTGCCCAGGCTGGAGTGCAATGGCGCGATCTCGGCTCACCGCAACCTCCGCCTCCCGGGTTCAGGCAATTCTCCTGCCTCAGCCTCCCGAGTAGCTGGGATTACAGGCACGCGCCACCATGCCCAGCTAATGTTTTTGTATTTTTAGTAGAGACGGGGTTTCACCGTGTTGACCAGGATGGTCTCGATCTCTTGACCTCGTGATCCACCCGCCTCGGCCTCCCAAAGTGCTGGGATTACAGGCGTGAGCCACTGCGCCCGGCCACGACCATATTTTTCAAAACGAAAACAATTTATTGAGAGGAGTGGCATCTTTTCACACTTCCACAAGCCTTATTAATGTCCGGGCATCCCGGGCGCAGTGGCTCACAAAGCAATCTGAGCACTTTGGGAGGCTGAGGCAGGCGGATCTCAAGGTCAGGAGATCGAGACCTTCCTGGCTAACACGGTGAAACCCCGTCTCTACTAAAAATACAAAAAATTAGCTGGGCATCGTGGCGCGGGCCTGTAGTCCCAGCTGTTCAGGAGGCTGAGGCAGGAAAATCGCTTGAACCTGGGAGGTAGAGGTTGCAGTGAGCCGAGATTGCACCACTGCACTCCAGCCTGTGTGACAGAGCAAGACTCTGCCTCAAAATAAATAAGTAAATAAATAATAAAATAAAATGGTCACATAGAAAACAGCTGGATTTGGCCAGGCGTGGTGGCTCTCGCCTGTAACCCCAGCACTTTGGGAGGCTGAGGCAGGCAGATCGCCTGAGGTCAGGAGTTTGAGACCAGCCTGACCAACATGGGACAACCCTGTCTCTACTAAAAAATATAAAATTAGCCAGGCGTGGTGGTGCATGCCTGTAATCCAAGCTATTCAGGAGGCTGAGGCAGGAGAAACGCTTCAACCCAGGAGGTAGAGGTTTCGGTGAGCCGAGATGGTGCCATTGCACTCCAGCCTGGGCAACAAGAGGGAAACTGTCTCAAAAACAAACAAAAAAACCAGCTGGATTCTCATCAGCACTGCATTCAGCCCACCAGGACAAGACATGCTGTGGCTTCTGGGAGCTACGCTGTACATGAGGGCGAAGATGAGAAGGAGACTCTCGTGTATGAGAAGAGCTTTGACCCCGGGATCGCAGGGGTGGCCAGGCCATACCTTGAGAACCACTCCCTGGATGTGCCTTCTCCAAACCAAGCTCCCACCCTGGTCTTACTCAGGGTGACTGGTGACCAGGGGCAGGGACCTGTGCAGGCTGGCTTAGGGGAAAAGGGCAAGACCCTCATGGAACATTGAGCAGGGTACAGCCTGGCCTGGGAGGCCTCTTGCCCTGAGTGTCAGCTCCGTTGGTCCCCTCACCTTGGTCTGGCCAGCCCTGGGTGGCTGACCTCTGGCTTAGCAGTCAGCTCTAGGTTGTACCTGGATCCCAGGGCCACTCCCAAAGAGGGTGAACCTGTGAATGTGGATTTCCCTGGTCAGATGTACTGAGGGGCCCCTGGGCATGGGCATGGAGCTCAGAGACCACAAGCGCCTGTGACCAGCAGACCAGATGCAGAGCCCTGAGCTCAGGCAGAGGGTACCTGCCTTTCCTCAGCCCTCCTCAGTGCAGACATGAAGGCTCAGGCTGAGTGGCCGAGTGGCCCTGCCCCTCACAGAGCTATCCCAAGGCCCCCTGTGGGTCCAGCCCACCCTCACCTCCCCGTTGTTCTCCTTCTGACCCCTCCTTGGTGTCTGTTTAGCTCCCCTCCACCCACCTGTCTAGTAGACCCCATAGACCTCTTCACACGTGCAGCACTGTATGTGGGGAGGGTCTGTTTCGTGCCAGGTGCTGGGAGGCAGAAGGAACCAGGACAGGATCACTGCCTTAAAGAGACTTACTGTGCATCAGAAGAGACAAAGCAGGACCACAGCAGCAAGCCCAGACCACGCAAAAGGGCAGACCTATTTTAATAGCAAGCGGTCACGGTGGCTCGCGCCTGCACTCCCAGCACTTCAGGAGGCTGAGGTGGGAGGATCGCTTAAGCCTAGAAGTTCAAGGCTGCAGTGAGCTGATTGTACCACTGCACTCCAGCCTGGTCATGGAGCGAGGCCCTGTCTCTCAAAAACACAATGGCAGATGCGTTCATCCAGGGTACGGCATTGTTGGGAGCACCCCAGGGCTCAGCTCCTCACCATCTGGGGGCTCAGAGCACACCTTGGAAGAAGCCACATTACAGCCTAAACCCAACTCTGGAGAAGTTGGGCAGATGGATGAGGAGGGCACAGTGTGCAGAGGCCCTCTCGGCAGGCTTCAGACACAGCTCAGGAGACACTGCAGGGCCCACTGGGAATGGGGCCCCTGGGGGCTCCCTACGGTGAAATTGGACCCACTGGGCTGGGCTCCCAGGCTGGCCTGCCCCACCTGCCACCTCTGTCTGTGCACACCTGTTCCAGGTCATTCAGCCCCTACCTAGCATCATGCTCTCCCCAACTGTCCACTCCTGGGGGTGCAGGGCTTGCCCAGCCGGGCACTCTCCAGGCACTACAGGTGGGGCACAGGCCCTAGCAGGGGAAGGGTGGGTGAAGACAGCTGAGCAGGACGGGGAGAGAACCTGACAGGAAGCTCCCGTCTGGGGCAGGGGTACTGCCGGGCCTGTATCTGAGCAAAAGCTAGGGGAGCAGCACTGCTGGGGCCCTCTGGCTTGGGGGGTGGTGAGGGAGGTGGGGGAACAGCCAGGTAGGGCCCTGTCATTGTCCCCGGTGAGGGGGGCCTCTGGGTCCCTGAAACACTGCCCCTCTTTTTTTCTTTTTTGAGATGGAGTCTTGCTCTATTGCCCAGGCTGGAGTGCAGTGGGGCAATCTCAGCTCATTGCAAGCTCTGCTTCCTGCGTTCAAGCAACTCTCCTGCCTCGGCCTCCCAAGAAGCTGGGATTACAAGTGTGCGTCACCATGCCCAGCTAATTTTTGTATTTTTGGTAGAGCCAGGGTTTCACCATGTTGGCCAGGCTGATCTCGAACTCCTGACCTCAAGTGATCTGCTTGCCTCAGCCTCCCAAAGTGCTGGGATTAGAGGCGTGCACCACTGTGCCCAGGCGAAGCTCTGCCCTTCTGATGCTGTGAACAGATGTTGGGCTGATAGGGGCAGGGGGGCCCAACTGCAGTCTGGGCAAGAGGTGGTTGGGTGGCTGTGAGGACCAGGGGTGTGAGAAAGGGGTCAGGAAGCCCACCCAGTTGTGCTGGCCTCTTACTGAGAGGGTCCTGGAGAGTGAAGAAGCCTCTAGCTGGGAGGGGAGTTGCCCTTGGCCTGGGACCTGGGGCCTGGAGGACAGAGAGAGGATCCAGTCAGCAAGGAGCCAGGCATCATGGCCAGAGAAGGTGGTATGGGGAGGATGCAGCACACTGATGGAGCAGGGAACTGGGGTGAGCCAGCACCATGGGCACTGACCTGCGCCCCACAGACGCTGCAGCTGCTGGGCAGGGAACTGGGGCGAGCCAGCACCATGGGCACTGACCTGTACCCCGTAGACGCTGCAGCTGCTGGGACAGTCCCAGCCCAGCAGATGCCATCGGGGGTGTCGCCTCCATGAGCAGAGGGCATCACCAAGTGCTCTGTCTTCCTCTGCAGCTGGTGTACCCAAACGACTTCCGGCTCACAGACAAGGAGGTGAGTCCTGGCCCTCTTGGGAATGGACGTGACCCAGGAGTGAGTCGGCCCTCACTGGGTTTTGTATGTTTCAGAAAAGCAGCATCTGCTACCTGTCCTTTCCCGACTCACACTCAGGTAGGCGACCCCACCTTTCCTGGGGCTGGACATGGAGCCAGCTGGGAGTCCCTGTAGCCCAGGCCAGGGGCATCACGGCTGCCTAGGCTGCCTGCAGTGCACAGAATGCCACAGGGTGGGCAGCACCAGCCCCATGCCCACGCAGCATAGGCGCCCAGATCCCCGTGTTGCAGCCAGGTCCCCAGGTACATGTGGAAGGGGTGTATCTGGGCAGAAGGACCAGCAGTCAGTCTCCTACACCCCACACAGCGGCCACCAGGAGCAGGGCCCCCCTCCCGCTCCCACCCCGGGGCACAGACGTCCTGGTTTTCTGTCTCAAGCAGGTCGGGCCAATCTCCCAGAGAAGTTGAAGGTGCTTCTCTGTGCAAATATATTCTTTTTTTTTTTGAGATGGAATCTCGCTCTGTTGCCAGGCTGGAGTGCAGTGGCACGATCTCAGCTCACTGCAACCTCCGCCTCCTGGGTTCAAGTGATTCTCCTGCTTCAGCCTCCTGAGTAGCTGAGACTACAGGCTCGCTCCACCACGCCTGGCTAATTTTTTTGTATATTTAGTAGGGAGAGAGTTTCACTTTGTTGGCCAGGATGGTCTTGATCTCTTGACCTTGTGATCTGCCCACCTTGGCATCCCAAAGGGCTGGGATTACAGGCGTGAGCTACCATACCCAGCTCTTGTGTGAATATATTCTAAGACGCTAGGTGCAGGGCGGGCAGGAGTCAGGATAGGAGCCGTTGGGAAACAGACCCCTTGGGCTGGGCATTCTTTCTGGGGCATTTTTACCAGCAGAGTCCAGGCTCACGGAGCCCTTGGCCCCGGTCCCCAGCTCCGGGGCCTGTAAGAGAGGCTCCTGGTCCTGACTGGCATGGTGGGGCTGCCCCTTTTCAGGCTGCCTTGGAGACACTCAGTTCAGCTTCCGCATGCGCCAGTGTGGAGGGCAGAGGAGCCCCTGGCATGCCAACGACAGGCACTACCACAGCAGGGCCCCCGTGGCGCTGCAGGTGAGCGCTGGGCTGCCTCTCTGACCTGCTTCTCCTCCCCTGCTCCCCACGGGCCCTGCCAGGGTCAGGCTGGTGTGAGAAGCCCCTTCAGAGTGCCTGGGCCCTGTGTGGCAGGAGAGGAGCTGGCCAGGCCCCCTGGTCCTGCAGCCCTAGGCACCAGCTCCAGCTGAGGATGGGCTAGCTCTTCCAGGGTCTCTCCGGGGTCCTTGGGGCTTTTCCTTGGCACCACACATCCGTGGCTGGGCATCTGCATAGTTGAACAGGGGCCTACGCTGGTCTCCCAGGGCTCCCAGCCCCCGAAGCTCCTCTCCGCTCCGCCAGCTGATTCCGGGCTGTATCAGCAGGGGTATTACACACCTTCTGAGCCCTGGACCTCCCGGCCTGCCTCTGCCTTGGTGGCCAGAGGGCAGTGACAGCAGCTCTGGGAGCCTCCTGGTTCTCCAGGCTCCCATCTGCTGCAGTCTCTGCCTATTTCTTGCCATTCGCAGCCCTGGGCCGGGTGGTCTGGGTGGGGCACGGCCTGGCTAACACCTTGCTCCTTCCAGAGGGAGCCAGCACACTACTTTGGCTATGTGTACTTCAGACAGGTGAAGGACAGCTCTGTGAAGAGGGGCTACTTCCAGAAGGTGAGTTGCTGGGCTGCTGGGCTGGCGCCTTGGAGAGGCAGGAGCTGGCAGGCAGCAGAGGGACTGGGGGGCAGGCAAGGGGTCCTGAGCCTCCAGCAGTGCCCACTCCTCCTGCAGTGCCACCTGGGCTGTGTCCAGCTCTCCTTGCGGCCCCCCTGCCCTGTCTTTGCCCGGTGGAACCCAAGGCCCTTCTGTCCTGGTCCCAGGGGTTCCTGCCCCTCCCTGCTGGCTGGTGGGTCATCACACTGTCAGGGTCAGGACAGCCAAGCCTGGAAGCCATATGCCGACAGTGAAAGCTGCTCAGCCCCAGGGAGATCATTCTAGAAATCCTGGGCACCATGCGTTTTCCCCCGAAGTCCCTAGGGTCTGCCCCCCCGCCCGTCGCCACCCAGGGAGTTCGGTGTTGGGTTTTCTCCTAATAATCCGGGGTCTGAGGCTGTTGGGGCAGCTGTCCTGTGGAGCTGGTGGGATGTACTACCCGGCCAGCTCCAGGTAAGCTTGGCTTCAGGGCTCTCTGTGGGCTCCTGAGTGGCTGGGATGAGGCCTGGTGCTGGGGGCCTCTGACTAGCCCTGTGACCCCACAGTCTTTGGTGCTGGTGTCCCGCCTACCCTTTGTCCAGCTGTTCCAGGCGCTGCTGAGCCTGATTGCCCCCGAGTACTTTGACAAGCTGGCACCCTGCCTGGAAGCAGGTGAGTGGCCGTCAGGCGTGTCCGTCATGGTCTCATCATCCCAGCTGTGGCCCCTGGTGGGCCCGGCAGCAGCCTCTCCTTGGAGAGGGTCCTGACGCTAGCTACTGTATCCGCAGTGTGCAGTGAGATCGACCAGTGGCCGGTGCCCATGCCGGGGCAGACCCTGAACCTACCTGTCATGGGTGTTGTCGTCCAGGTGAGAGCCAGCTGGCTGGGAGCAGACTCTGCAGGTGCGTGGGGATGCCCTGCTCCCTCCGGCAGCTGCTCCCTCCTTCCCCAGGTGCACATCCCATCCAGGGTGGATAAGTCCGAGTCCAGTCCTCCGAAGCAGCGTGACCAAGAGGTGGGAGCCGAGACGGGGGCTGAGCCGAGAGAGCTGGGCTGCACCCGACCAAGTCCTGCTCCTGGGCTGGATGGTCACATCTGCCTCCCTGGTCCACCCTGTGGGGTTGTGAAACCCAGGCAAAGCCATAGGCTGTGTCTTGGTGTAGGGCTGGGAGCTCCCCACCCTCCCCTGTGCTGTGAGGCAGGGGCTGCTTGGGACCCAAGGGGTGCCAGCCTTGCCTTGGCCCTGACCTACCCTCTCCTCTCCTCAGAACCTGCTGCCAGCCCCAATGGTTCTTGCTAGCGTCCACGAGCTGGACCTGTTCAGGTGAGCGCCCTAGGGTGCTGCACACTGCTCTGGGGGAGCTCAGCTGTGTGTGCATATGCGTGTGTGTGTGTGCGTGAGTGTGTGTGAGTACGTGTGTGTGCATGAGTGTGCGTGTGTGTATGAGTGTGCGTGAGCGCATGTGTGTGCATGAGTGTGAGTACGTGTGTGTGCATGTGTGTGCGTGTGTGAGTGTGCGTGAGTGCATGTGTGTGCGTGAGTGCGCGTGAGTGCATGTGAGTGCATGTGTGCACACGAATGTATGTGTGAGTGCATATGTGTGTGCGAGTGCATGTGTGTGCATGAGTGTGCATGAGTGTGCGTGTGTGTGCATGAGTACGTGTGTGTGTGCGTGAGTGCGCGTGAGTGCATGTGAGTGCATGTGTGCACACGAATGTATGAGTGCATGTGTGTGCATGTGTGTGCCTGAGTGTATGTGCATGTGTGCCTGAGTACATGTATGCATGTGTGTGTGCATGTGTATGTGTGAGTACACCTGTGTGCATGAGTGCCTGCATATGCATGTTATGTCTGCATGTGTGCACGAATATGTGTTTGTGAGTGCGTGTGTGTGTGTGAGTGCATGCATGTGCGTGTGTGAGTTCATGTGTGTGTGCATGTGTGTGTGAATGCATGTTTGTGAGTGCATGGGTGTATGTGTGTGTGCGTGAGTGCATGTGTGCCCATGAGTGCATGCATGTGCATGCGAGTGCACATGCATGCATGTGTGTGTTCATGTGAGTGCATGTGTGTGCGTGAGTGCATGTGTGCATACATGTGTGCATGTGTATGTATGGCCAGTACCATGTGGGGACTGCCCAAGGGAGGCACCGCTCATCCTGAGTAACCCTTGGGGCAGTTCGGCAAGGAAGAAAGAATTGTGCAGAAGAGGAAGCAAGTGCCCACGTCTGCAGCCAGCGGAAATGGGCACAGTGGGCAGGAGGTTCTAGAAGACAGGTGTCAAGGAGAGGCTGTCAGGAGGGATTCAGTGCCTAAGGCCACCCTCTCTGCCTCTGGGCGAGTCTGCAAGGGGGCCTGGGCCTTGAGACCATCCTGCTCTGTGCTGGGCCTAGCAGGAGCTAGGGCTGCACTTGGATTGGAGCGGGCACAGGGTGACTGCAGGGGTCTGGGCAGGCATGCTCCCCAGCCCAGGTCAGCAGCCCCTGCCCCGGCTCTGGGGCCGTTTCACGACTGCTGGTCCCTCACAGGTTGGTCCAGGTTGAGTCCCCCGTTCCTGGGGCCAGGCCCAACACAGGTAAACTATCAGAGCTTGGGGTGGCCATGGCAACCCAAGACACTCTCACATTCTCAGAAATCTGTCTTCACCCTGGGGCAATGTGCCGTGTTCACCAGTGCCTGGGCCTGGGCCAGCCTGTGCAAACGGGTGGGAGAGCAGGACCAGGGCCAGGAGTCTCAGCCCTGCCTGACCTTCCGGATCATCCTGCCCGGCGCCAGGTGCTTCCGGCCTGTGCTGACTCACGTGCAGACCCTGTGGGAGCTCATGCTCCTTGGGGAGCCCCTGCTAGTCCTGGCACCCTCGCCCGACGTGTCCTCGGAGATGGTGCTGGCCCTGACCAGGTACTGCCTTGCCTCAGTCCCGGCTGCGGGCGCTGGACCATCTTGGCTGTGCCTGGGCCACCCCTGCCTCACCTGCTCCTGCTGCCCCTGTCCACAGCTGCCTGCAGCCCCTGAGGTTCTGCTGCGACTTCCGCCCTTACTTCACCATCCATGACAGTGAGTTCAAGGAGTTTACCACACGCACACAGGCCCCGTAAGTGCCGCCTCCACCCTGCCGCTCTTGCCCTCATTCCACCTCCTCGGACCTCTGTCTCTGCCTCTTCTCTCTCTCTCTCTCTGTCTAGACCGAACGTGGTCCTGGGAGTTACAAACCCTTTCTTTATCAAAACACTCCAGCACTGGCCCCACATCCTCCGAGTCGGGGAGCCCAAGATGTCAGGTAAGGCTCCTGGGGAGGTGCAGGGAGTGGTGCTGAGAAGCGTCATTGAGTGTGGAACCGCCTCAGAGCCTGTGGGGATGGCCAGAGCTGTGGGCACTGAGGCCTGGCCACCGACGTGTTTCGTAGGAGACCTGCCTAAGCAAGTCAAGCTGAAAAAGCCTTCAAGGTTGAAGACCCTGGACACCAAGCCAGGTCTGTGCTCCCCTAGACCTGGAGCCCCTCCACTGTGGAGAGGCCTGTCTTGCATCTCACAGGTCTCCCGGGTGGGGCAGCCAGGGCTCCAGACCCTTGGCCCTCTTCTAGGACTCCGCAGCAGAGCTCAGAATCCTCAGGGGGAGGAGGGCGCTCTCTTCTTCATTGGGTCTCTGTCTGGGGTGGGGCAGGTGAGGTTTTCAGGTGCAGCCAAGGCCATGGGGCTGCAGGCAGATGAGACCCCACCCTGGCTTCTCTGTGGGCTGCAGGAGTGTGGGAGGGAGCCCCTCAAAGGGCAGGGTGCCAGCTGTGCCCTCCCGCCAGGCCTCTACACCGCTTACACAGCCTACCTCCACCGCGACAAGGCGCTGCTCAAACGGCTGCTCAAGGTATGGGCTGGTGGGTGGGGGCTGAGGATGCAGGGAGCCTGGTGTGGTGTGAGGCACAGCACGGGCCTTGCCCCTTCTTCCCTGCAGGGCGTGCAGAAGAAGCGGCCCTCAGATGTGCAGAGCGCCCTGCTGCGGCGGCACCTCCTGGAGCTCACACAGAGCTTCATCATCCCCTTGGTGAGGCATGGGCCTGGGGGGCACGGGCCTGGGGGGCACGGGGCTGGGGGAGCATGGTTCTGGGGGGCACGGGGCTGGGGGAGCATGGGGGGGGGGGGGACGGGGGCGGGGGGGCCCGGGGTTGGGGGGCATGGGGCTGGGGTATATGGGTCCATAGGCTCACTCCCCTCCCTTCCCCACCCAGGAGCACTACATGGCCAGCCTCATGCCCCTGCAGAAGAGCATCACGCCCTGGAAGGTGGGGGTCCTGGGGGCGTCCAGGGAGTGGGGGTTCCGTCCTCACCCGCAGGAGGGAAGGTCTGGAGCAGACGGGGCAGGAGGCTGTGGCTGTGCAGGAGCCATAAGGCTCAAGGCCATCATGTTTGTGAAACTGGGGGCCACAGGGTAGGAGGTGGACAGGACCCTTGGAGGGGCTCAGGGCCTGTTCCTGGGAAGGGCTCTCCGGGATCTGTGCCAGGCAGGGTGGGGCCTGGGGGTCTTCAGGTGTGGCGAGGAGTGTTTCTGTGAAGCGTGTCGGGTGCAGGCCTGTGAGTTCCCATGTGCTGGCCCCCCACCCCCCTCTCAGACTCCCCCCCAGATCCGCCCCTTCAGCCAGGATGACTTCCTGCGGAGCCTGGAGCATGCCGGGCCCCAGCTCACCTGCATCCTCAAGGGCGACTGGCTGGGTCTCTACAGGTGGGTGGACAGTGGGTGCAGGTGGCCTGTGCCCCCCCCTTGGTCCACAGGGCCATCCCATGGCCCCTGCCTGTCACTCCCCACAGGCGGTTTTTCAAGTCCCCCCATTTCGATGGCTGGTACCGGCAGCGGCACAAGGAGATGGCCCTGAAGCTGGAGGCCCTGCACCTTGAGGCTATTTGTGAGGCGGTGAGGGAGGCTGCGGGTTGAGGGTGCAGAGCATGGTGGGGTGGGCACAGGCCCAGGGCAGGGGAGGGCCTTGCTGACAGCAGACGCCATCTTACTCTGTAGAACATTGAGACCTGGATGAAAGACAAGTCTGAGGTGGAGGTCGTGGACCTGGTCCTGAAACTTCGAGAGAAGCTGGTGAGATGCCTCCCAGCCTTGTCCCAGTGCCACTGGCCTGGCACGGAGCTATGCCTGCCCTGACTGCTGCTGCTCTGCAGGTGCGGGCTCAGGGCCACCAGCTCCCTGTGAAGGAGGCAACGCTGCAGCGGGCCCAGCTGTACATCGAGACGGTCATCGGCTCCCTGCCCAAGGACCTGCAGGCCGTCCTGTGCCCTCCCTAGGACAGAGCCACGGGCCGTGGTCCCAGGAGCCTAGGTCTGCCTGAGCCTCCCTCTCCCCAGTGGCCACGGCACTGGGCCAAGCACGCGCTCCCCTTCCTTGGCCCCCCGCCCAGACTGCAGGCTCCCCTTCCTGCACCACCATTGTCTCAGTAGTAAAGGCGACATTTGGAACCACAGCATGGCCCTGACCATAGGGATTATATGCAGGCTGAGCCTTGCCTCCTCCTGGGCCCCACCTGGCCTCCGCAGACCGCAGGCTGGGCCGGGGCGGGGACAGGCTGGGAGCCCTCACTGGTGTGGGTGTGTCCACCGTCTGCCCCTCCGGTGCCCATCTGTTGGCCCCCAAACCCCCTGTGCTGTGTGTGGTGCTTCCTTCAGCCCGGCAGGCTGCCCAGGGCAGGAGGGACCCTCTCCCAACACAGCTGCCCACCCTGTCTTGTCGGGATGGGAGGGTACTTTGTACACAGTCATCAACTCAAGAAGGGGAGAGATGGCTTTGCAGTGTGAAGAGTTCTGCCCAGCACCCCAGTGCCCCTCTGGGCCCCTGCCTGCCTGGGGCTGTGGTTTGTTTGGACGTAGGGGGTGGGCAGGGGGCCATGTGGGGCCCAGTGCCTCTGCTAGGAGAGCTGGCTCAGCCTAGCACTCAGAGGGTCCACAGCACCTTCCTGGCTCCCAGTCCTGGAGTCCCCACCAGGTGCCAGCTCCGTGCTCCCGCCTGAGAGGTGGACAGGGCCCCTGTTGTCTGTGTGTGTCCGTCCATCCCTACATGCAGCCGAGGGGCGCTGGGCTCTGGCCTGACCCTGCCTCTGGCTGGAGCTGCATGTCTCCCTTTCCTTGGTAAGAGCCACCTCTGGGTCATGTGCACCCCAATGTGACACCTGCAGGCACTGAGCCCTGTGATGTACAGTGCTGACAGCACTGTCAGGGCTCCGGACCGCCAAGCCCCCGTTCAGCATCATACACTGTGTGCCTGGGGATAGGTCCCCTGACCAGTCAGACCCTCGCTTCTCATCTGAGAGATCCAGAGATCCACGCAGATGCCTGACGGTGCTGCGAGGGCCCACCCATGGAGACTGGGCCTGGTGCCCTGCAAGGCCAGGCAGGTGCTGGCCGGGGGGGCAGGGCTGGAGCAGGGGCTTTTCGTTGTCTTCTGAGGCCCCCACTCGGTGCGATATACTGTGTGCGTTCTCATTGGTGCACTCAGACCACAGCTTCCAGCGAGGCTGGACACCCGTGCACTTGTTGGCCACTTCAGTGCAGGGTGTGACCGAGCCACGAGGGCTCCGGGGTCAGGTGTCAGGTCATTCTCAGAACTTGGTCCATGTCGACTTGTCCAGCCTGACTACAGCCCAGGACAGCCTGCCCTGTCCCCATTCTACAGACAAGGATACAGGCAGCGGGGAGGGTGACGAGGAGACTGTTCAGCCCAGATGTCTGGTGCAGGGTCCCGGGACGTGGCCACGTTAAACAGAGCACATAGCAGCTGAGGCAGCAAATCGGTTGTGTGGCACTGGCAAGCCGGGGCCTGAGGGTGAGAAAGGTCCTCGTGCCAGACGTAGCTTGGTGTGCCCCGACTGTGGCATGGGGCGGCCTCCCTGCTGAAGGCTTGGTCTCTAGCAGGTCTGCAGAGATGCTGGCACTTCCTGTGTGGCCAGCTGGAATGTGACCTTCGTAAGATGGGACCTGGGGGACAGTGCAGGCCCTCCATCAGGGCCCTCTGCAGAAGCCCCATGCTCATCCTGGCCCACTGAGGACCATCACATCAAGGTGTCAGGGCAGCTTGGGAAGAGGACCCACCCTTCTCAACTGTGACCCGATTTGGGGAGTACACCCCATGTACCAGGCAGCCTGTGCTTCCCCATACCACAGTCTGGTCTCCCTTGGCTTTCTGAGGGCTATAGGGGAGGGGCTTCAGGCTGGTCTCTGAGAAGCCCCCAGGGACCCTGGCCACTGTCTGTCCAGAAATGTACAACCGGATTTCCCTGGAGGGCTCTGGTGAGGTCACATAGCAGGGAGGAAGGCTTGGTGGGCACTGGGCCAGGTGGGCAGCATTGCACTGGGCAGAAGCCAAGGCTGAGGTAGAGGGTACTGTCCCAGTCCCTCTTCCTGTCCCTGCCTGTGCAGAAGAGCCTCAGGGTGGAATGTGGCCTGAAGTACGCGGTGAAGAGGCAGGAAGGTCCAGACTGCTCTACCCCTGGCCAGAGTGCCAGCCCCCGCAGGCAAGAGGGGCTGTGCTGGGCAGAACTTAGCTGGCAAGGATGAGGACTGCTGTGGTCACTGAGGCCTCCCGAAGGATGGGGACCACAGGGTTTAGAGGATGGAGAGGGCTGGGAGCAGGCTGGAGTGGGCCTGGGGGCTGAGGGTGCACACAGGGCCTGCTCAGGGACAGGAAGGACAGCTGCTCACCCTAAGCTTCCTGTCAGCTATTTAAAGACTCCCTTTTAGTCTAGAATAGTGGCCTTCCCACGGTTTTGCTATTAAAACGTCCTTTTGTGACACAGTGCTTGTATTTTAACTCCTTTTTTTGATAAAAAGTTGGCAGCCTTGTCAGACCCTGGTAATTTTGGGGTCCTCTTCAGCGAGGGGGACGGTAGCCGAGATGTGGATGTGGTTCAAGGCCCAAGGGAAGAAGTGGGCAGGAACCAGGCCTGGCTGCTAGAGGGTGGGAGAAGGCAGAGACCGAAAGATCTAAGTCAGACAGGAGGAGTTTGTCACGATGTGGCGGGGCAGATCCCAGGTCAGGTTGGGGAAGCAGAGGAGGGGGGGATGCCTGGATCCCGGACAGGAGGAAGCCAACCGAAAGGACCACGGACAGGGGCAACAAGGCCCGGCAGGTCTGGGTGGAAGGTGGCCCCAGGGAGGGGCGCCCCAGGGTGGGGGCGAGGCTGAGGGCTTGGGGAATGCTGCTGTCTTCTGCTCAGCACGTCCAGTCCGGGGAGAGCAGTGGGGGCACCCTCCAAGCAATGGCCCTGCAGAGGGTTTTCCATCTCTTCTCAAGTCCAGGGAACACCAGGAGCATTGGGGCCAGGACTTGGGGCCTAGGATGCCAGAAGTGGGGCAGCTGTGTCCCAGAAACCAGAACCCCCAGAAAGAGGTCTAAGTCTACCCACCTCCATGCCCTGAAGGACCAGTATGGGGTCCCGGGTGCAGCTTACCGAGGTGCTGCTGGGGGCCAAGGATGTGCTGGGAGGCATCTCCAGGTGCCCAGCTTTCCTCAGGGGCTGAGACCCCTGGGAATGGTTTCCCTGGGGAAGTTGGGCTGAGACCCCTGGGAGAGGGCCAAGGTCCAGCAGCCCCCAACTCTGGAAGCCCCCACCCCTGAAAGCTGCAGGGGAGTGGCTGGCCTGCTCCCAGTCTTCGGGTGAGGGTATGGTGCCTGCCCATCTCGACTGGCAGGGACCCTCAGAGACGTTCCTCTGGCCAAGCAAGAGCACTCCCATAATGTCCTCTTCTAGCGCCAAGCCCTGGGCTCCCCTCAGGCCTGCAGGGCTCCTTGCGGGTGGGGGGGTTGGGGGGGACTCAGGCCAAGACCTCTTCGGGGACAGCGGTGTGTTGGGCAGGGCGCTGCCCTGGCGGAACCTGGGTCTCGAGTGGCCGAAACTGGGTCTGGGGTGGCCGAACCTGCCCAATCACGCTGTAGCTCCTGGGCCAGGGAGGCGTGGGGGGCGCGCGGGGAGGGCTGGCGGCTCCCTCCCCTCCCCTGCCCTCCCCTCCTGTCCCTTTCTCCCCCACTTCCCGTCTCCTACCCTCCCCTCCCGTTCTCTTCTGCCCTCTCCTCCCTCTACCCCTCTCCTCCCTCTACCCCTCCCCCTCTCCCTCCTCCTCCCTCTCCCCCCTTCTCCCGTTCTCCCCTCCCTCCCCTCAACACGCTCGTCGGGGGCGGGGCAGGCGGCTCCCGCGCGCTCCGGCCCCTCCTTGGTCACACAAAGGCCCCGTCTCCATGGCAGCAGCGCGGGCCAGAGCGCAGCGCCGAGCGCGGCCCGGGCGCCATCGAGCCTTGGCGGCGGACGTGCAGGTACCGAGCTCGGGGGACGGGGCTGCGGGGAACGTCGCGCTGGGCAGGGGGGGCTTCGCCGTCAGCTCCGCTCCACCCGGGCCTGCCGCGCTCGGGCCTGCGCACCTGCGGCGGCTGCGGCTCTGCGGAGGGTTCTCGGGGCCTGGGCCCCGTCCGTCTGTCCGTCCGGCGAGGCCCGGGCCGCTCCCGCCCCACGCCCTTCCCCGTGGGGACTCGGGGGACGGGCCCGGCCGGCGGGGCCTCCGCGTCGCTCCCGAGCCGCATCGGATCCCTCCTCCGCCCCTGCCCCTCACTTTTCAGCCACCGAGCTCCGTGCGCCGAGCGGCGGTGGTCCCCGCGGTGCGGGCGCTCCGCGCTGGCCCCAGGCTCAGCGGCACCGGCGCCTGGCTTTGCCGGAGCTCCCGGGGGCCCGACACGCACCCCTGGGGCCTCCTTGGCGCGGGGGGACCAGGGCGGAGAGCACCCGCCCCTGGCGAGACCCCACGGCCTGGGCCTCCTCGCGGCTCCTGGGGTGGCACAGAAAGTCTTAGAAGCGGGGGTGCGGGCCCTGTCTCTCCCCTGCTGACCCTGACCCTCCGCATCCTGCTCTACATGAAGCGGCTGCCCTGCCAGTCCCCACTGGTCGGGCTGTTCCGCAGATCTGGGGAGCCCGACTCCCCCTGTCACCTGGGGGTCTCAGCCCGGGAGCCCTGGAGCTTCCTGCTAGGCCCTTGACTTCTCTTCCCGAAGCTCCTTGGGAAAGGAGGAAACTGCCCACGGTCTGTGCCCACCGTGGTCTGTGGCAGAGTCAGCACAGGGGGTGAGGGTGGACCCCAAAGCCGGTGGATCCCAGGGGCCTGGAGGGCTCCCTGGGCCCCACCTTCCCTGGAGCTCCCCCCCTCCCCCACTTGCTGTCTGACTTCAGCCCGTTGCTTGGAGGCTCTGAAACCTGTGAGGCTTTAAAGTTGAGCTCCCTCAGGAGCCCTTTGGGGTGGGAGAGTGAGGCTGCCGGAAGTGGGGGCCCTCAGCCTGCTCTATGCCCAGATGACCCTGGCACAGAACAGCTGGTGGGAGGTGCCCTCCCTTTCCTTCCCAGAGGCAAGAGTCCCCCGGAGGGCAGGGGCAGTGGGCATTTTTTGTGACGAATCAGCTTTTCACGTGTTGCACAAAAATCCCGGGAGCCGACAGAGGAGCAAGCAGGTGGGCCTGGCGTGTCTGAGTCCTCCCACGTTAACTGTGGGGGACCCACCCGTGTCCCGGGGTGTCTGGGAGGCCTGAGGTCTGGCCAGGGGTTCCTCGCCCCAGTAGAGGAGGGAAGTTACTGAGAAAAACAAGGGTTTGGAATGTGAGTCCCCCTCCCCCACCGGCTGCCTGCCAAGAAGGAATTATTTTGGATTATCCAGCCGTGTCCAGCCACCCGAAGCGGGAGGCTGCAGCGTGGGAGACGGATCCACTTCCGGGCCGCGGGTTGAGGGCCCCAGGAGGAGGACAAGCAAGTCTGGGCAGCTCTGCCACCTCCTACAGCAGCTGCCCAGCCCAGACTAGGCAGGGAGGAGATGCGTCACCTTTGGGTTGGAGAACACCCCAAGGTTGGCCCCAGCAGGCCCTGCTGAATGAACCTGCAGTGGGCCCAGGACCCTCTGGGGGAGGCCATGAGACAGGAGGAGCTCTGGGCCCAGCCAGGGAACCCCTCGTCCTGAAAAGCCTCAACTGTGGTCTGAGGGGCTTTCGAGGCACCCTCCAGACCCTAGTTCAGTGACGCACCCTGTGCCAGTGACCTGTGCATGCCAGGGAGGTGGCAGGCAAGAGCAAAGCTAGGCTGCCAGTGAGGGCACTGGGGTCTTTCTCAGGGGCCCTCCTGTCTCCTCTGACTCCCTGTTCAGCTACTGACTAATGGACCAGCCTCCCTCCAGGCCCCTTCAACAGCCAGCTCTTGCCTACGACCCCCCTTGGATATGGTGCCTGTGAGCCATCTCTCAGGTGGGGAGACTCAGGCCAGAAATGGGTCTGTGTGAGGAGTGATCTGTGATACTGTGGGCCCAGGGCTGTGGCTGCCGGGGGCCCTGAGTTCATGCTGTACGCCCCTGGGGCACGTGCCCAGCAGCCTCCATAGGGACCACATCGGGAGGTGGAGCCTGCAGCTGGCCCCAAGTGCAGAAAGCCCAGGGGCTTGGCTCGGGCCCAGGGAAGTGGAGCAGAAGAGATTGGATTGGAAGGTGCTGGGGAGGGCCCATATGGCACAGTCTTCCTCCCGCCCCAGGACGTCATCCAGTTTCACCATGTCCTGCCCCCTGCCTCACCCTGTGCCAGCCAGAACTGATGGTCCACCTGGGAGTACGTGGGCATGGGCAGAGGTACACTGGCTGGGAGAGGCCATGATTTCTGGCCCCTCACACCGTGCCATCTTTGAGCTAGGCAGGCACTCGGGTGCCAGGCCTTTGCCACGAGGGTTGCCCTCCCCTGAGCCTCCGTCCCTCTGGCTGCAGCCTGGCCACCCTTCTTGGAAGTTGGGGGGACCACCTGTGCCCAGAGCCCGCCTTAGACGCCGTTTGGGGATGAGGTGGGGAGCTGCTCAGAACTCACCCAGTGGCCAGCTAGGGGCCCCCAGCCTTAACCTCCCTTCTGTGAGGCAGATCCAGTTTCACTGGGGGTGGGGGATTTGTTGGGGTTAGGGCTGGGCAGAGTTCCTCCTTAGGGGTAGTGGCTGTTTGTGTTTGGGGTGGGGCCGTGGGTGAGGTGGGGCTGGTTCTCTGACTAATTACAGGATGGGGACAGTGGGTCAGAGCCTATAATTGGCTGGTGGGGGTGCTCAGGCTCTGGAGCCTGGGGAGGGGCAGCTGCCCTAGCTTCCCTCTTTCCGGGCACTGCCAGGTTTCACATCCCCTGACACAGGCCCCTGCTTCTTCCCATACCCCTGGATTGTAAGGAGCCCCACCTCTCTGCTGACCAGGGAAGGACCTTGCTCTGTTCTGGGCTCCCCCATTTGCAGGCTCGGCCTCAAACCAGGTCCTAGCACAGCGGCACCCCCCTGGCCTGGAAGCCTCTCCGAAGGCCGAGCGTGTGAAGGGGTTGGCTGGGCCCCTGCCATCTGGCCCTGAGCACTGGCACCCGCCCTCAGTGGATCCACCCTGCTCAGTGAAATTCATGAACTTGTGACAGTGACTGGCCCCAGGCCCCACTGCAGCCAGGGATGGTGGAGCAGGCTGCCCCTGGTGGTACTGCAGGTCTGCCCCACCCCCTGGGGTTGTCTGTGTCTCCGGGAGGAGCCTGGAGGTGGCCTGGGTGTGGAGCTGGGGGTCCTGCCTCTGCAGCCTGGCTCCTGCAGCGGGTGGCCCCTGAGGCCTCGTGGAGGCCACACCTGAGCTGCCTCATGTCCCAGGCTAGGTGAGGGAGGAGAGAGCCCTGGGCTGGGATCAGGGCGCCTGGGGGCAGGGCTCGCTCTCTTCCTCAGCCCCTGAGGTCTCCTGGCTTCTGAAATCCAGCAGTTCCTCATTCTGGTGCCAGCT